CACACACACACACACACAGACACAGAGGGCGTGGGTGGTGAATTCAGTTGAGTCAGACAGACAGACAGACACGCATACAGATCTGATGCAGACAAGGAGGCAGACACAAATTTGAATAGAGTAGACCAGGCAGAGCGTGAGAGATAGAGGTGGTTTCGGAGGCAATAGAAAACAAGTGAAAGAGGATGCGGGATTAGAGAGGCTTGTACCTGAAAGACAGTTTTACTTTCGACATTGTGTATCGTGCTGCCTGAGCAAATTTAAATGTCGAGCTACAAACATTGAAGGATTTTTAAAAAATAAAAAAAGAAGGAAAAAGAAATAAAAGCCGGTAAGGGCTATTTACAACGACCGTCTCAACACATCGTTCCCTTGTCTTCGGCAGTGATTTCCCAAGCGGTATAAGTTTCGTGGGGTTTCCTCTTTATATTTATCTCAACTTACTTGTACTGGCTAGCTCGGTTTTGGGTTTCCAGTCGATTTGGTAGTTGTTGTCGTTGTTGTTATTGTCATTGCATATTGACGTGGTGATAGAGGTTGTTGTGGTGGTTATTGTTGTTGTTGTTGTTGGTGGTGGTGGGTTTTTTGTCGTTGCACAAATTGATGTGGTGGTGGTGGTTGTAGTAGTTGTTGTTGTTGTAATTGTTGTTGTTGTTGTTGTTGTTGTTGTTGTTATTTTTGTTGTTGTTGCTCCTGCTGCTGTTGTTGAAGAGGTCGTTGTCGTTGTTGTTGCTTTTGTCGTTACATTTGTAGATCATGTGGTGGTGGTGGAGGTGGTGGTTGTGGTGGTGGTAGTAGTGATGGTTGTGACAGTTGTTGTTGTTGTTCTTGTTGTTGTTGTTGTTGTTGTTGTTGTTGTTGTTGTTTACTTGTTTGTTGTTTTTGAGGTGGCGGTGGGGGTGTTGAGGTTGGTAATTGTTGTGGTAGTTATTTCACTATTATGGAAGATTGGTGTGCTAGCGTCTTGAATGGTTGTTTTCTTTTCAAACTACAATTTGTGTTGTTTGAAAGTTATTGTTGTTACCTATCAGTGATTTAACTTTGTTACTTTATGATGCTGTATGGTTTTGCTCTGGTATTATTGCTACTGTTGTGGTCATTGTTTTGGTTGTTGTTGTTCGGTTGTCGTTGTTGTTGCTTTTGTCGTTACAATTGTTGATCATGTTGTGGCGGTGGTGGTGGTGGTGGTGATGTTTGTGGTGGTGGTTGTTGTTGTTGCTGTTGTTGTTGCGGCTGTGGTTGTTGTTGTTGTTGTTGTTGTTGTTGTTGGTGTGGTGGTGGTGGTGGTGGTGATTGTTGTTGTAATGATTACATTATTATAGATGATTGATGTGCTTGCGTCTTTAATGGATGTTTTGTTCTCATACTGCAATTTGTTTTGTTTGACTGTTGTTACCTATCAGTGATATGGTTTTGTTACTTCATGTTTCTGTATAATATGTTTTTATTCTTGTATTGCGTGGTTGTGCTTTGATTGTTGCTGTTGTTGTTGATGTTGCTGGTGTTGTTGTTGTTGTTGTTGTTGTTGTTGTTGCTTCGATTGCTGTTGTTGTTGCGGTTGTCGATGTTTTTGTTTTGGTTGTTGTTGTTCTGTTGCTGGTGTCTTTGTTTTTGGTTATTTCTGTTGTTTCTGTTGTTGTTTTGGCTGTTGTTGTTGTTGTTGTTGTTGTTGTTGTTGTTGTTGATGTTGTAATTGTTTTATCAATGGGGGGGTTTTCTTTTACTTTGTTCGTTATTTGTTTAATTTTGGGAGGGTGAAAATGTTATTAATTATGGTAGTGCTTCTGGTGCTGGTGTTTTAGTTATACCTAGATTCTAGATCTATGTTTTTGTTTTGGATTCTTAAATATTTCAACATGGGCGTTGGGCTTTGCAATAACTTAAGACAACATTCAGTTAGCGGCTCCTTGTTTCTTCTCTTCATGTTTCTCAACAAGCGCAGGTGCATCTTTAATGCTGGAATGAAACTACCTGCATGTTGAAAAGCTTACGTTGCTGCTGATACGATTAATCTAGTCAACTGATTAATCAGAGGATCAAACTTAATGAAAAAACGAAATTTCAACTTAGGTTATAAAGCGAGTTGGCCACCACCAGCAACTTTTGACTGACATGTACAGTACACAGACTTACTTACCCTTCGCCGCAGGTATATATATATCCAACAGCCACAGAAATTAAAGAAAAAAGCTAGCCCTTGCGGGCTTAATCCTTGGATCCAAGAAGGTGACACCGTCACATGGGTTAATCTTCGAAAACTACACAGCACAGCAGATGTCAAGTCACTCAGAACCCACTAAAAAGTTGTAAGTAACAACGTACCGTGCCATACGAACGAGTAATGGTATTCCGAAATTCTCATTTGACGAGAGGTAATCGTAACTTGTGTTGTGTTGCGCGCTAGTGACGCGTGCTGCGCTGTCGACTCGCTACCGCTGAGCGGGTGAGATACGGCTAGGCGGGACCCGTGCAAAGCGCGGGCTCGATCGCTACCGGCCGCCGAATGCGTGCTTTTCGCCGCTATACCTTTACTCTTTTCTGTTTTTCCTTTTTTTTTCGCCCCTTCCTCCTCCTTCCGACGTTTTACAACACCGCGACCACGGCTCACTGTTTTCGTTCGGGGTAGCTAGTGGGACAGGGGGGTTTGGGTGCGCGTGGGCTTGTGTGTGTGGTGGTGGGGGCACCAGGCACCGTATTGCACCAGCCCGAACTCGCCTCATCCCTTATGACTGAACGGGACGGGGTGATGGGAATTTGACGGTTCGTCAATTTAAAAAAAAAATGTGTCCGCTTTCTTCCTCGTTTAATCCCACCTCGGGGATTCTTCTTCTTCTTCTTCTTCTTCTTCTTCTTCTTCTTCTTCTTCTTCTTCTT